CAAATAAATTTTTCAAAAATTCAAAGTTATATGTATAGTATCTAGCCAGTCACTGGCTCTTGGTGCTCACAGGAACATCCAGAGTGGGACACTCTGGTTATTATTTCTTCTCTCTTGGGCCATGAGTTTAAAAAAGATCTAGAATTCTGACCACCACTGGCTGCCTCCCCCACGGGGAAAGTCTGTGCTCCAGGCAAATCTTCCTCACTCAAATGCAGATCAAAGCCAACTGTGGAAGGAAACTTTGCAGCACAGGTGGGAATTCCCACCTGGGCATCCAGGTAGGAGACACTCCTGTAACCAGGCCTGCCAGAGCACCCCCTGCTGAGTAGTGGGGGAATCCCCAAGTGGGCACAGAGGCCAGGCTACAGATGGGGCTCAAGGGCTCCCTTGCTGCATGAAAAAACCTCCTGTCCCTCTCTCCCCCCAGGAGGTTTGAAGAAGCCCCCTAACTGCTCCAGACACTGGATAATCTCTCCTGGAATGATTGGCAGCTGGTGGCCACATCCCAGTGGCCTGCCAGCATCTCTCCCTCTGGCAGCACCTCAAGCCTTCACTGTGCATCCAGGAAACCCCAGGCAGGTCAACAGGTGTTTCCAGAGCCAGTGCTGGTATGCAGCCTGCATTACTCATGCTTGGGGTTGTATTTTTGCATCCTTGGTCATACATCTGCCTGCCTTGGAGATTTTACCATCTTCCAGATCCTTCACAAACAGGCACGGAAACATGGCATGACAGACATGGAAACATGGCATATCCACACAGTGGAATATTACTGAGTCATAAAAAAGAATGGAGTCCTGACCCAGGTTGCAACATGGATGAACCTTAAAAACATGATGCTAAGTTAAAGAACTCAGACTCAAAAGCCCACCTAATGTTTGGTTCCATTTATGGGAAATGTGGGGAACAGATGGGTTCAGACACAAAGCAGATTAGTGGTTGCCAGGGGCAGTGGGGAGAAGAGAAGTGTGAATGACCATTACAAAGTAACAGGTTTCCTTTTTTGTTTTCTTCTCTTGGCAGTACCAAGGTTTGAACTCAGGGCCTCAAGCTTGCTAGGCAGACACTTTACCACTTGAGCCACACCCTCTAGCTCTCTTTTTGCTTTTAGTTATTTTTTAGATAGGGTCTTGTGGTTTTCCCAAGACTAGCCTTAGACCTCAATCCTCCTACCAGAATAGCTGGGGTTACAGAGTAGCTGGGATTACAAGTCACCACACCTGACCTCCTTTTTAGGTGATGAAAACGTTCTGCAATTAGATAGTGGTGGTGGTGACACCATGCTGGGAATGACTCCTCTCCTGATCTAGTTCCTTTGGGTTCCTGTGTCCCTGCCATCAACAGTCTCAGCCCTCTCCTCAGGACCAAGCCAGGGCTTTTCTGATTCTCCCCTGCTCCCTTCTCCCAGGGATCTGCACCATGAGGATGCATGTGACCAGAGCTCTCTGTGGGAGCTGTTGGCCCTCCTTACCATGTTGCCTTGTCTCACCTCATGGTCACAACATGACTTAGCAGTTCCAGCCTCCAACAGAGAGCACATACATGGAGAGGTGAGGTGAGGCATATGTCTTAGCAGCTCTTTGGGTTTGTTTTTGTTTTTCAGACTGGGGTTTGAACTCAGGGCCTACACCTTGAGCCATTCCAACGGCCCTTTTTTATGATAGGTTTTTTCAAGATAGGGTCTTGCAAACTGTTTGCCCAGGCTGGCCTCTAACCGCTATCCTCCTGATCTCTGCCTCCTGAGTAGCTAGGATTACAGGCTTGAACCACTGGGGCCCGGCTCATTTTGTTTTTTTGAGACAGTGTCTCCCTGTGTAGCCAGGCTGTCTTTGAGTTTTCAATCCTCCTGCTTCAGCCACCCAAGTGCTGAGATTACAGGTGCACATCACCACGTCCAGCTCAGGAGCAGCTCTTTCTGAAAGAGGAGGAAGAATTTCTCAGGGCCTCCCTCTGCAGGCTTTCCCATGGGTCATATTCCTAAACCCATCCCTGTCCTGGGCCTGCAGGAGCCCACAAAGGCCAGGACTGCTGGTACGAGAACAAATTTGTGTTTTATTAAGAAGATGGTGGGGATAGCTTGGTAGTTAAACAGACCTCATGAGTTTTCCTGACAACTCTGCATTTTCCTAACCAATCAACTTTCCCTTCCCAAAATGAACTGATTCTTTATAAAATATTTTTGGTGACTGTTATGACACATACACACATCCAGAGTCTGCCTTTCCTAATATCTCTCATGGGGAGAATCAGTGCAGACCTCAGCCTGGTTCTCTAGCTAGCAAGACATAGCCCTGCCCAGGCCAGGAAGATCCATTCTAAGCTACATGCATTCCTCTTCCAGAAAGTGAACCATTCCAGGCACGTGCCCCACTCCTGCTCTGTGAATTTTCTCATTGCAGCATCTTTCTGCCAAGATGTTAGCAGAGATGGGGCCTGGATGTGTTCTTGGCTTTGTTCTAGTGAGTGCTGAGTCAAGCATAGTTCAACACCATCAACATCAATCCTCAACCAACCCCCAATTCCAGCTATCCTTGATGTACGAAGGGAAGGACAGTACTTTCCTTCTTAAACAAACAACTTTGGTGCTGGCCAAGAATAAATGCTCAGGGAGCCTGGAGGGAAGTGCAGAACAGGGCTGTAGTTCAAGTGAAAGTCACACCTCTCCACCTCTGGAGCTGTATATGTACAACAATCCATTCTTGTCTATGCACTGCCCCTCCCTCCATCTTTATGCAAATTTTACTCATATAAAGTGCTCAAGACTCATCACTTCTAATTATCCCACCACACAGTTGGGAATGGGAAAGGAAAACATTCCCAAAAGAAAGTCAAGGTGCCTCTCTCAGAAGGGACATGGATGCCAAGGGTCTTGGCTCTCCCAGCCTCCTTTCCCTCCCCTCTCCCAAAGCACAGTTCCACGTCATCCTAAACAGTTTTCAGCCCCTGGGCTCTGCCACCTTCTCCCTTCCACCATGTATCTGCTGGGTCTTAGTTTAGACTCTACTTCAAGAAGTCTTCTGTGACCCTCCATAAGAATTATGTAGACTGCCTATGAGCACCCATGTTTGTTGCTATTTTAGTTAGCAGATACCTATTGATCATCTCATCTGGGCCAAGCTCTGCTACTCTACAGCATTACCCTATCTATAGGCTTCCCACAAGGCTCTATAGGCATCTTTTAAAAAATAATTTTATGAGCATACAATAGTTATACAGGGGGATGCATTGTGATATTTCATATGTATTTTAAATGCATCTTAGTTGGATTTATCCCTCTATCATTCTCCCTCTTCCCCTCTCCCCCGTTCTTAGAACAATTTCAACAGATTTCATCCTTCTATTTTCATATATGGATACAAAACACATCCGCCATATTCATCCTCATTCCCCCTTTCCTTGATCCCACTCCCCTCCCAGCTCTATCGGTATCTTATGTATCTTCCTCATCACAAATCTCCATGACACTAGACACTGTGTGAGTCACGGTCTGCACTCCCTACATTTTTGTTGGGAGAAAAAAGGAAAATCATTTCTGAGGTGAAATTCACATAACATAAAATTGGGCTGGAATGTAGCTCAGTGATAGAGTGCTTGTCTAGCAAGCTTGAGGCCCTGGGTTCGATCCCAGCACCAAAAAAGAAAATACAAAAAAAAAAAAAAAAGACCCCCACATAATATAAAATTAACCATTTTATGTTAGAACTCGGTAACCAGAGTTCTAGGCCACAGGCACAACTCTGGGGATCCCAACATGCCAGGTTTGGCCACTCATCCCAATATACCAAATAAAGAGTTGTGGTGAAGCACAAAGAAATGAGATTTCTTACACAGCTTGTGCCTGCCTTGGGAAGAGGCAAAGTGAGCACTTAAGCCCATCACCAGCCATCTTTGGGGTGCAGACACGAGCTTCAGGTTTAAGTGGAAGGAAAGAGAGGTACATATAATCAAACACTTCCTGTTAAAGTGTGGCCCGGATCACATTATCGCAGTTCTGTTCTCCAAGGGGTTCTGGAGAAGTTATTATTGCTGCCATCACTTAAGGGGAGTGAAACAAGTCCTCTTTCTCCAAGGGTGCAGCCTCATCATTGTAGGTAACTGTCCTCACTTGGGGGGCTGTCTGTCCTGTGAGGCTCTGCTGATCCTTTCCTTGGAGGTAGTTTCTGTCCCTCATCAGAAAGATGTTATCAATCAGTCCTGTCCTTGCTGGAACCCAAGGTGACTGCAGAAGACCAAGACTGAGAGTAAACAAGACAATGTAAAATGGAGACAGAGAGACAGAGGCAGGGGCTGGGGTAGTGGATGAAGTGGTAGAGCATCTGCCTAGAAAATGTGAGGTCCTGAGTTCAAACCCCCGGACTCCCAAAAAAGAAAAGAAGCAGTAAAATGGAGGCAGGGATGCCAGGTTTTTGTCTTACTTTCAGTTAACTTTGGACATTTGCAGGCTCTCATGAAGTCACTGCTTTTAGCAAAAGCAGTTTCTAAGTACCTATCATAGAGTGAGCCACTCCCCACCCCTGCAGCATCCTGCTTTAGGCTGCAAATTATCCATCCATCTTCATTGTGCTTCTCATCCTGTCCTCTGCCCAGGTGGTCTATCAATGAACTGTGGGGACTTGAAAAAGGGAAGGAGGAGAATAGAAGGACAGAGGGCATGGGGAGGGCAGCTCTGTCTTCACCTCTTTTTTGGAAGAGTGTGGGAGTGAGGAGGAGGGAGAGTGACCAGTCAGCCCCCTTTCCCCCAAGCCCTCCCTGTTCCCACTCCACTGCTCTGGGCCTGGCCTGAGTTTCCTTCCATTATTGTTCCTGCGTGGGCCACCTGTCAGGCTATCTCCAGGGAGAGCAGGCATATATGGACACAAGCCGACAGTACAGTGTAGGGTCCCATGCTGCTTTCCTCACTCACACATGGTCCTTTCAATAAGTACAGTGTGTTCATTTCTTATGGATACTGTAACAAATGACCCAGAAGTTTGTAGTTGAAAATAACACATACTTACTCTCTTGCAGTTGTGGAGGCCCGAAGTCTAAAATGAATCTCCCAGGGCCAAAGTCAGGGTGTCCACAGGTCAGCATCTTCTGGAGGCTCTAGAGGAGTGTAGAGGGTTGAGTGGAGGCTCTCCACCCGCCTAGAACATGTTCACATCCAATCCCTGGAACCTGTGGATAGCTGAATGGATGGATGGATGGATGGATGTCAAAAAATGAGTATCATCTTACATGGCCAAGTATGCAAAGTTAAGGACATTAAGCATGGTCCCTAAATGAAATCCTATGTGTCCTTGTAAGACAGACACACTGACACAAAGACAGAAATGGAGATGCAATGTGACCATGGAAGTGGATAATGGGGATATGTGCCCACCAATCAAAAATGTCAACAGTCACTGAACACTGGAGGAGGCAGAGATCTGATATTCCCTAGAGCCTACTGGAGTGCAGCTTTGCCATTGCCTGATTTCAGACTTATGGTCTCTGGGACTGTGAGAGGATAAATTTCTGTTTTAAATAACTAAGTTTGAGGTCATAGTTATAGCCACCACAGAAAATTATCATGGTGAGAATCTGTCGGCTCCTCCTTTTCCAGCATTTCTCAGCTCAGGGCTCCATCCTCCATCCTGAAAGCCAGAAGTGAAACATCTCTCTGACTTTCTGCCTCACTCTTATACAGACCTTTGTGATTACATTGAGTCTACCCGGATAACCCAGGATAATCTGCTGTGAGAAATCCTTAATCTTCTCTGCAAAGTCCTTCTTACCATGGAAAGTGACATATTCATAGATTCTGGGGATATGATATGAACATCTTGGTGAGGGGGGAAGGGCACATTATTCTCCTTACACACTCAGGTTCAGAGTTCAAGGAGCTTCTAGGTGGTCATCTCCAGGGACCATCATTAGGATCTGAGGGTCCCCCCCAATCTGCTGAAAGACTCAGCAGACTGTATTGAACTGTGTGCTTTCCTCCAGAATGCTTTGGTCCTGCCCTCCATCTTCAGCTCTGGGAAGGAGCCTGGGGCCCCTTTGAATGGGGCAGCAGGAACGCTAAGGGACTTCAAATTCCCCAGCTGTTCTCCCACGCCCCTCCCCTTGGCTGCTTTCCCTCCATTCTTACACTGCACCCTTACCACCACTCTTATTCCTCCCCATCCCATTCCAACCATCTGGAAGTCTCCACACACCTTGGACCTCCTACCTTATGAGGGTCATGGGCAAGTTCCCATAGAGCTTACCCAGAACCACTGCATCCTGGGTTAGTGAGGGAGTAAGTGGCTGGAATAATCTAGGAGAGAAAGGGCAGAGAACACCCTTGTTACCTTAGGCTACAATTGGCTGGGGTCAAGGCTACTAGCTCAGTCTTCAAGTCCCACCCTTGTTTGGAGCTCCTATGCGATCCCTAAACATGCAGGCCCCTCCTTTCTCTCAAAAGTTGACACTGGTGCCTGGCCAATGCCTCCTGACCCCACTTCTGCCTACTGGCCAGACCTTAGCCGGTCCATACTGCTCTTCAGGGACAGTTTGGGCCTGCCACATCCTGGGGGTGAATTTTAATTTGCTCAGAGCCATAATGGCGGGCCATTTCTTGTCCAATGATTAGTTAGACATGGTGCTTTCTAGGGATGGGTTTGCAGTGAGACCCAAACTGCCTTCCTGGTTACTAGCAATTGTGTAACTATTATAATTCTTTCCCTGGAATCTTATCAAGTTACCAAGTCCCCCAAACAAGACACCACTTGTCTCTGACTATCCCCTTTCCCTCCCTGCACCTTCCAACTGGTCACCAACTGCTCTCAAGTCTGCCTAGGAAAACAGACACACATACAAATACATGTGCACACTTAAAACACAAATGCACACATATACACACATATATGAACATGGACACATGCACACAAATACACACATACATATACAATCGCTCATGTACACACAAGCACAAATGCATGTACACACATAATGCAAACAGAACTATACATGTATGCAAGTTCATGCACACATATGTACACAAAAGTCTTTCAGGCATATGAACTGTTCTCACCTGAGGTGCTAGTTAAAAATGAAGATTCCACCCAGCCTAGAGGACTGGGAAGCTGAGGAAGAGACAAAATCTTTGTTCCTGCTGCTCTAATAAAAACCACAGATTAGGTAATTTGTAAAGAGAAACTTGAGCTGGCAGAGTGGCTTAAGTGGTAATACTGCCTGCCAAGCACGCCCTGAGTTCAAACTCCAGCGCCACCCTCCCCCCCAAAAAAGAAGAGAAACTTATTCTGTAAGCCAGGAAGTAATCCAATGCCAAGGCCCAAAAGGATTGGTGTCTGGTGAGAGCTGCTCTCTGCTCTAAGTGGCACCTGGTTGCTACATGCTGAGGAAGGAGTGCTTTGTCCACACATGCTGGAAAGGACAAAAGGGAAGGGAGTGCTCTCTTCATCTGATGCCCTTTCATAAGAGTGTTGACTTCATTCCTGAGTGTGGAGCCCTCAAGGCCTAATCACCTCCCAAAGGCCATGCCCCTCAATACTGTTGCATTGGGGATTAAGTTTCAGTGTGAATTTTGGAGGGGACACTGCCATTCAAACCATAGCAAAACCTTCTTTTTCAAATCCCTGAGGTTATACCTGCACCACACAGCAAGCACAACAATACACAGGCCTCTGAACATCCAGACATTTTCAGCCTCTATTTTGAGCCACTAGCTTTAACTCACCTTTCTGGATTCTAAATTACTAGGCATGTGCTCTACCTAGTACTCGAGCCATGTCGCCAGTCTTTTTGTTAAATTTTGTTCTTGTGATAGGTTCTTGCTAACTTTGCCTGGGCTGCGCTGGAACTCAAGATCCTCCTGCCTCCACCTTTCTAGTACTGGGATTACAGGTGTGCCCCATCATGCCCCACTTGCTTTCTAAATTCCTATTTGTCCGCCATCAGTAGCCTTGTTTTACTGGAACCTGACCCTCAGTCTTATGTCCCTGAAGGCTCTTTCCTCTTCCCTCACAATTCAGATGGTGGCTCTGGCTCCAAATGCCTTTGGCTACTGGAGAGACATAACTCTGGAAGTGTGAAGCCCCAACAGCACTACCTCTGCCCCCACGCAGGATTATGGGCCCTTTGGGAACCTACCAATATCACTTGACTGAGAAAAGGAGACCCAGTAAACAAAGAACACTGCCAAGTCTCACCCCATGTTGATACAGTGAAGGTGGCCTGAGCCTGGAACATCTCTCCTGGGTCTGCTCCACTGGACTACTGTTTCCCCACATTAGCCTCTCTGGGCATGAGAATCCACTGGGATTTGCAAAGCCAAGGTCTCTTCCCACCAGCATCTGAGGCAGTGTTCCCTCATCTGAGCAGGCTGGAGATTCCCGAGGACCTTCCCTGTTACCAGCAGACTCTCTGGGGCTTGAGAATCAGGCTCATGTTGGATGAGGGAACAAGAAAAGGAAGACCATAGGGTTGGTGACAAGTGGCTTGGGAAGCACTCAGGAATGGCTCTCCAGATTATCACTGGGATGGTGTTGCAGACGTGGATGGAGACCTGTCCAACTTCTGTGGGACAGTCTCTCAGGTGCACAGGACATCCATTCACAGTGGTCCTTGCACCAGTGTCTAAGGGATCTTCTCAAGGGACCACATGGTATGGACCAGCCAGGACTCTCAAAGGCAAAGAATCTAGGCCACACCTTTCCTCCAAGGCTGCCAGTATGACTTTGTCTTTGTTTTTTTCAGACAGGATTCAATGCAGAGTCCACGCTGGCCTCCAACTCAACATCCTTCCGCCTCAACCACCCAAGCGCTGGAATTACAGTTGTGATCCACCATGCCTGGCTCCCACTACATTTTTAGAGTCAAGAAATATCAGAACAGACCTTCTAAAAGTGTGGCATATTTAAAATGTTATATTTATTAAATCAGTGCTTTTGATACACACATACACAATGAACTATTTTATTTCTCTGCCCAGAAAAGTGTAAGAGATGAACTCTGAGTGATGCAAAATATCAGAAGGTTATTAACTTTGCATTTTCAGTAGGTCAGAATATTGTCCTAATTATGTCTAATGATAACCATGTGTCCCTGTATATGAATTTCCTGTGGATGCTATAACCAATAACCATAAACTGCATGGCTCTGTGTGTGTGTGTGGTGTTTTCAGTACTGGGGTTTGAACTCAGAACCTACACCTTGAGGCACTCCACCAGCCCTTTTTGTGATAGAGTCTCAAGAAGTATTTCCCCAGGATGGCTTTGAACCGTGATCCTCTTGATCTCTGCCTTCTGCTGGGAGGAGTAGCTAGGATTACAGGAGTGAGCCACAGGTGCCCAGCTTAAACTGCATGGTTCTAAGCTACAGAAATACATTCTCTCACAATTCTGGAAGCCAGAAGTGTGACTCCCATTTTTGAGGGGCAAGGCTCACAGGAGAATCTCTCTACTGCCTCATCCAGCTTCTGCTGGCTCCTAGCTCCCCAGTGTGTCAGTCCAATCTCTGTCAATGTGGCCACACTGCCATCTGTTCTTTGATAACATCTCCAGAGGCCTCCCTCTTAGAAAAGTATCTGTGATGGCACTTAGGGCCCACCCAGGTAATCTAGGCTAAATAGTCTCCTCATCTGAAAAGCCTGAATGTAACCACATCTTTTGTCATGTAAGGTAGCATTTACAGATTCCAGGAATTAGGGCCTGACTCAGCCCAGCACACACTGGTAATCTATAGACTTAAATCTTTTAAATCAGTGCTATGCACATGTAATTATAGGATCTGTGTATTATTTGTGCACAGCAGGTGCCATGGTCTAGGAGTAGGGCACAATCACTAGGCTGGCGTCCTTTTCTATGTTTGGTGCCTCTCTGCTTCTGGATGTTTACAAGTGTATGACTCCAAAGGCACTTACCTCCACCCCTCATGCAGGATTTTGGCTCTTTAGGGAACCTACCAATGTCACTTGGCTGAGAAAAGGGGACCCAGTGAACTGAAAGAACATTGCTGAGTTTCACCCCACCAAGACAGAATGGGTGTCTCTAGCATGGAATATCTCTCCTGGCCCTTGCTAACAGGAAATGTCACATGTCCCTTGGACACCTGTGGTGAACCTGACCACACTTTTGCAAACCTACCCAGGTCACCATGCCCTGCCTTCATGGACAGCATATCCACCAGTAGTCCTGTTGGGGACTTCAGACATTTGTCTGAAAACAGCTAAGCTCCTTATTAGTGGTGAAACACACACAACAGATTTTACTTCTTTTGTTTGTTTGGATTTTTTTGTTTTTTGAAACAGGTCCACTATTAGTCCACACTGGCCTTGAACTCAAGATCCTCCTGCCTCAGCCTCCCATGTGCTAGGAGTACAGTTGTTCACCACAACATTTAGTCTAAAATTCTTCTCATTAAATAGCCATTTTAAAGTATACAATTAGTAGCATCAAGTACATTCACATTACTAAAAGGAAATCCTGTACCCATTCGCAGAAACTCCCCATTCCCCTGCCCCCCAACCCCTGGCAACCACTAATTTGCTTTCTGACTCTGTGGATTTGCCCGTCCTGGAAATTTTATATAATGGAATCAAACAACATTGGCCTTTTGCATCTGGCTTCTTTCTCTTAGCACAATATCTCAAGTCTCATCCATGTTGGAGTGTGGGCGCTTAAAGCCTTTTGAAGGCTGAGTAACACTCTACACGATGTTTATCCATTCATCAGATGATGGACACTGGGTTGTTTCTACTTGGAGCTGTTTTCCACTGGAGCCTGTAGCCCTATCTCCAGACCCTACACAAGTCACTCTGTGCAGGTCAAACTTCAGTGCCAAATCAAATAGGTCTTGATCTTAATTCAACAAAGAGAAATTTTGGCCAGGAGACCTGGATTCCTTAGTGAGGGGCACATCTACCTGTCCAATTCCTCCTTCAGGGGGTATGTCTGTCCTTATTCCACCCTGTGGTCCTAGTGGGACTGCCATTCCATCCTAGAACCCTAGCTGGGGCAGGGGCTCGGCAGCTCTCGGGGTTTCCTGCATGTGGAGGAACTGCATGTGTGGGAAGAAAGCAAACTGCATGTGGGCAGAGAAGCAGAGCTGGTGAGCTTTGTCCTGGATATAGCTGACCCTGAAAGTGAGGCTTTCCTCCAGTTTGCTGGCTGATTTCTTATAGCTTTCTGCCTACACTGGCTCATCTGGGATTTCTGCCACATTGAACTCAAAGAATCCTGATAGTGAATTCTTCCCCCACAAGCCCCAGGTACTCTCTGAAGCAGAAAAAACAGGGCACTCTATCTTCACCCACACTGCTACCCCCTCCAAGTAATGACTCTGTGGGATCCCTAAGTGTTTCATTTAACATTGAACTTCCTGGACAGATGGCATGGAGCTCAGATCTTCATAAAACTGGACACCTGGGGCACACCAGGGCCTGTCAAGACCCTGGAGGCCAAAGAATGCAAGAAACTTTCCAGCTGCTCCTTGGACAGTTTGGCACCTGGTACTTGACCCTCAGCTTATGGGATGCCCCACCCCCCATCCCCTGTACCATTTAGTTACTAATGAATGGGACCTGGCGAATCCACCTGGTTAACATCCTTGGGTGCTGCTCAGTGAGGCCTTGAAGGAGGAGTCGTTGGTTTGAGCAGCCTGCTTTCAGGCAAGAACAGTTAATTACCCCAGCAGGTGTCTGTGTGATTAGCAAGTAGCCCTCTGCCCCCAAACAACTCCTAAGAAACTGTGGAATCAGAAAGCATAATTTTCCCTTTGGGGGTGAGAGGTGCAGAATGACAGTGATAGAAATCTCTTTTGTGTAGTCTTCTTTAAAAGGAAACAGGAAATCAAGCAATTTCCTTGGCCCCCAACAGTAAATATTGTGTTTATTAAAATAGTGTTTATTTTGTGCAGATGAGAAAAGCTGAAGACCATTAATGACCTCCTGGGCTCCACAGAGCTCTGGTTATGTGGCTCAGAGGCAAAGGTCCTAAGCACTATTACAAAGGGCTCTTCTCTGGCCTCTATTTTAAGTGCCTTTGTGTGTCACCCAGTCACTCCTTATAAAAAGAGTTTTCTTATTCTTTTTACTAGAATCTTTCGCATATAAAATATTACCCTTAATATCTCTGTCCCTCAGTTTCCTCATCTGTAAGATGGGATAATAAAGTGGGATACTGGCAATTCACACCTGTTATCCTAACTACTTGGAAGGCTGAGATCAGGAGGATCACAGTTCCAGGC